TGGAGGTGGTGGTGGAGAGGCCTTTCTGGGCACCCTCTACTCCCGACGGCAGGAGTGGCCTGGGTCATCATGCGCCCTGGCGAGGGTGGGGACGTCACAGGAGCAGAGAGGTGTGGTGGGAGCACAGGAAGCAGTGTGCGTGGTGTCCTCTGAGTCCAGAGAACACAGACGCCCTGGGAGCGTGTTGCTCCTACGCGAAACGCGAGGCGTGTGTGTGAGGATGTAGCTACTCTGCATGAGGCGACATCCAGAACTGGGTCCTCACAAACGGGGCAGGGGTGGGGACCTGGCTTCAGTTCTCTTTGCTGTGAAATTTGTCCAGGTTGTCTCACGTAGAGATAACTTGCTTTTTTTTTAACAGCTGAATGCTTGAAAAATGTGTGTGTGTGTTGTATTGTGAGTGTAAATGTGTGTGACAGAGAGAGACAGAGAGAGAGACAGAGACAGAGAAAGAGAGACAGAGACAGAGAGAGAGAGAGAGATTCTGGAATTCACATGAAATCAAGTTCCAGGAAAACCTAGCAGCCTGCTTTATCCACGGCCATCCAAATGAGCCTCTGACTGACTGTGACTCACGCACACCCACACGTTTTCTGTTAAGGGCAGGGAGGGGCCGTTCACGAGTCTCGGTGGGTGACTCGGTTTCTCTATTTGCGGGGCATTTGGATCGTTTCTGCAAATGAGCTGGGCCAAGTCCTATAGATTTTTAACCCTCCTCTGACTTCAGAAAATCCAACTAAGGAAAAAACCCAGGCTGGGCTACACAATCCCTGATAAAAGGCCAGCACACAGGTGAAGATATGTCACCCCCATTTCTTTAGGGAGAGAGGAAAGTCGCTAGACTTCCATTTCCCATACGCATTTCCCTCCCTGTAATGGTTCAGCCTGGGGTCTCTGTCTACCTGGCCGTCCCTCCACCTGCCTGCAGGACGGAGGGGCCCCCGTGTCCACTGGGCCTCCTCTCACACCTGGGAGTCCTGGTGGACTGCACTGCCGCCTCCAAGACTTTCTTTCTTGCTTGTCTTCTTTCTAGAAGCAACGTGTGTGATTGTAGAATTGCAGGAAGCACAGATGGACACAATGAATCCGGCAGCAGTCGGCTGGAATCTGAATTCAAGTATTCTTGACATATGTTAAGCATGTATGTACAGATACATACATGGCCATGTTTTCCTCTTCTAAAATTTCCTTTTCATGGAAAGAAATTCATTTACTCTGCTTCCACAGCCTCTTCTCATTCCACTGTCCTGACTGCATTTTACGGGACCAATTTCTCGTTATCTAACGCTTTTGTCATTTTTCTTGGTTTTATTCTAAACAGTATCTCACGATTATCCCTGACGCATCCTTGATGGTTCTCTCTCTCTCTCTCTCTGTCTCTCAGTGGTAGTGGGTTTGAACTCGGAGCCTCACACTTGCTAGGCAGACGGTCTACCACTTGAGCCACTTCACCAGCACTTTTTTTATGTTGGTTTTGTTATTGTTGTTTTGAGGTCTTGTGAACTATTTGCCCTGGGGCTGGCTTTGAACTGAGATCCTCCTGATTTCTCCATCCTAAATAATTAAGAGTACAAGTGTGAGCCAGTAGCACCTGGCAATGATTCTCTTAAACTAAATTTCCTAAAAGTAAAAATACTGTGTTAAAATGGAGGTACAGATCATCGACACAATCACCGACTGTGTTTCTGCAAAGTCTCCATGTGGAGCCAGGTGCTGGTGGTTCACTCCTGTCATCCTAGCTTCTGAGGAGGCTGAGATCAGGAGGATTAAGGTTTGAGGCCAGCCCAAGTAAATAGTTCTTAAGACTCTATCTCAAAAATGCCCAACACACTTACAGAAAGGAAGGAATAGCTGGGGTGTGGGAGAGTGGAGCTTAAGTGCATCTGTCTAGCAAGGATGAGGCCCTGAATTCAAACCCTAGCACCACACACACACACACACACGCAAAAAGTTTCCACCGTGGATGGGGGTCAGAGGAATGGATCAGGGATCTCTCCGACGAGAAATCCACATTTGATGAGGGTAACATTCCACCTAAGGAAGTAGATGGGGGAAGAGGGGTGATCTGTAAATTTGGTAACTATGGTGATGACACTCTGGCCATGAGTGCGCCATCCAGGTGACTCAGCCACAGTGATCTGCACTGTTTTCGTGCAGCCAGTTTACGATGAGCTGTGCAGGGGCAGCCCGAGAGGGGGTTCCAGTCCAACTGAGAGCCTAGGACCGATCCAGGCTCCACGTAAAATGTAACAAGGCCAGGCGTCTGCAACTTGTTTCCTCTGGGCAGTGCCGTCAACTGCTCAAGTATTCTCAAATGAGGGGAAACTGTGAGTCACTCCGATTTGCGCTCTGGGAGATGACAGAGCCACCCTTGGGTGGGTAGATGGCTGCGTTTGAGTGTGGGTTGGCGAGAAGACTCCACTGCCAGAACAGGGCTGGCAATGGAGGCGGAGGACACTGGGGTGAGGAGAGGAGACACACAGGTTGAACAACCTGGAAGCCAGCAAGATTTTCACTTGGTAAAGACGTGGCGTGGACAGATCACCCAACCTTGCTGAGTGTTGTCGCCCATGAACTGCAGACAAGCACTGCCTTCCAGGTGTGAGAGAATTTAGTAAAACAAGATGTGTAAAAATCAGTCCTTCAAAAGCTACTGAAGGAACTCAGGAAACAGTTGCTGTTATTACTATTATAATGGTTAGAAATTATTAGTTTTATTTCCTCTAGGGATAAAGGAAATAAAAGATTTAGGAAAAATGGTCCTTTCTTCTCCTTCTCTCCCTCCTCCTCCTTCTCCTCCTTCTCCTTCTTCTCCTCCTCTTCCTCTTCCTCTTTTCTCTTCCTCCTTCTCCTTCCTTCTCCTCCTCATCCTCCTCTTCCTCTTCTTTCTAGGGTTCTCATTGTGGAGTTCTTAACCAGGTGTCTAAGAATTCCCTAGAGACCATGGATAGCTATCTGGGGGGAGAGAAGTGTCAAACTTGAATAAAAAAAGAGGGTTGTTATTTTTTACTAACATGCAACCAAAATTCAGTATTTCCTCTAATTATGACTGTATACGACAAGCCAAAATAATATCAACAACACTGATCATTCTTTGGTCCACAGTGTAAAGTTGATATGCTTCTGTATCACATTTAAATTTCTGCAGATACCTCAAAACGCCCTTTCGATCGGAGCCATATTCCAGTAATACAGCAGGCTCTCCAATTCACAAGCATTAGAACACAGTGCCTGCTACACACCTGTCCACAGGTCTGAGGTGGTGGGTCTGAGCACACAGAAGACTGGAGGTAACTTACCAATATGTTGGTTTACTTCGTAACTCTAGGTATGTTATTTTATGCATTTATAAATATCATTCTTAGAAAATGTCTGCAGGCTTCAGCAGACTTCCAGTGGGCACTCGGTCAGAGCCTTTTGTCAGGCTCTGCAGGAGGTCCTGCCTGAAGGAGGGCACAGACACCAACCAGGGAAGCTCTTTCCTACCTCGCTGATCTGTCGCCCAAACAATGGGCACGAAAAGCAGACCGTATCTGTAGACAGGTCCTGACAGGGCTGGAGGTCCAGCCCCTCCAAAAAACCTAACTCTACACGGAAAGAGAGAAAACATGTTACCCTCTTGCGGTTATCTTGGGTTCCAGAAATTACAGGACTGATAGATAACATCTTTATGATAAGGTGTGGAAAGTGGGCCCCAGGGAAGGATCAGCAGAGCCTTGCAGGACAGACAACACTTCAAATTTGGACAGTGACCTGTAATGATGAGGCTGCACCCTGGAGCAGGGGTAATCATCCCATGGGAACCAGATTGCTCCCCTCAAGTGATGCCAGTGATAACAACTTCTCCCAAACCCTGGCAGAACCAGGACTGAGTCAGTGATCAACCTGGCCACACTGGGACTGGGACTATTTAATGATGCTTTACCCCTGCCTCAGTTCTTCCTCTATTTAAACCTAACACTCACATCTGTACCTCCAAGATGGATTCAGTGCCTGCTTTGCTTCATCCCTTGCTGTACCTGTGCATGTTGGGCAATGGCCAGTCCCGACACATGGAACCCCAGGAATTAGGCTTCTGGCCTAGAACTCTGGTTCTATAAGAGATGCTTAAATTGCCTTTGCTAAAAAGCATTGACTCCTAACTTGGGCCCACAAATGAACTAAAAGCAGGAGAAAAGCTTGACACCTCTCTTTTATTTTGTATCTGTCTTTGCTCTGAGACATTCTCTCTGCAGTCACTTTGCAAACATCTTGATTCCAGAAAAGAAAGAACTGATAACATCTTTATGTCAAGGGACCGAAACTATTCCTAAGGGTAGAGCTTCCACAGGACAGATCATCTCCCAGGTGACAATGGCTCTAGACAATGGACCTCATTATTTTAGGTCATTGTCCTCATTTGGGGGGTGGTTTCTTGCGGGAGGCTGTGCTGATCCTTCCCTTATCATAGAGAGGTTATCCTGGAACCCAAGATGATTACAGGACAAGAATAAGGCCGAGACTGGACTGTTGAGCTATGCACACGCTCTGCCCCTGCTCCGGTTCCTTGTCTGTTTAAACCTACAGCTCATGTCTGTACCCCGAAGAGGGCTGAAGATGAGCTGAGTGCTTCCTCTGCCTCTTCCCACGCTTGTCCAGGATCGTGTACTAAACCTCCTTTCTCTGCCCTTCGCCATTACTGTCTCTTTAGTTGACATACCGGGGCAAGTGCCCTGACCCAACATGGGGAAGCCCAGGAGTTTGAGTCTGGAGTCCAAAACTTTGGTTTCAAGATCATCACTCTCCCCACAAGCATCCAGAAAGACTCCCAAGTTCCCACCTGCGGCTATGACCTCAAGAGACAGAGGAAGGTAGAGCAAGAGAGGATGAGGGGGACATGAGCAGAGAGACCTCAAGACAGGAAGCCCTCTTAACAAAGAGGCCAAGTGCCCCGCAGGCTGGGACCAGCTGTAGGAACTGCAACCACAGACCACAAAACCAAGAAACAGCAGCAAGTGGCAGTGACTTTATTTTGTGACACACAAGCAAGTTTTGGGGGTACATCCTCATGGTCCTCCTGCCCGCAGCCCTTCCGGTTGTCCCAGGATGGTGACCTGCTGCTTTGTTCCTTCTCCCATGTCCCCCTTGTCCAGGTCTCCTGGCCTTTCTCTCTCCACACACAGGCCCTGTGACGGGCAGAGAGCCAACGTTTGAAAGCATAGGCTCTGGCAGTGCTCAGAGCGACCTGCGGGTTTCAACTCGCTCATCTGGGCTGAAGCATTCACAGCCAGTCCTCAAGTCCAGAACGCACAGCATCTGAAAGGCCTTGTGTAGGGATTTGTCGGCTTGCCATCAGGAAACACCATATCAACAGCCAAAACACACCTTTGCAGGGGTTGGGATTTTCTCCTTCTTGTTCTCATAAAAACCAACCAGACATTTTTCATTTAAAAAAGACTTAACACGTATATACAGTAGTAACTGGCTACTGTATATAGCCAGTTACCCTAAACATCACAGAGTTTATCTCCAATACCATGAGGACACAGGTACCATGGCAGTTACCTCCAGGACACTGTCTGCTCTTCTGGTTTCTTAAAAAAAGCTTCATTGCCAAGTTCAAACACCGACATCCTGCGAAGATGACCGTCTTTATTCCTTTATAAAAGTAGCTTGGATAATGTAGTATAATACACAGTACAAAGTTTACAACAATGCAAGAACAATGTATAAATTACAATGGCGTACAGGAAGCTGTGGCTCTTCTTGGGTGGTTCCCTTAGCAGTTGTATTGCTGCAAAGAGAATGAAAGGTGCATTAGGTTTTGATCAGGTTTAACAAATATGACGTCCTGTCTGTCACAGTCCTGCAGGAAGTAAACATACAACAGAGTGACTCAGCTTCAGTAGAACTTCAGCCAGCCACACAGGGCTCAGACAGTGATCCTGAAGAGTTTCCTAAACAAAGCAGACCCACTGTCCTTCCCTAGGAAAGCTGCACAGTGGCTTGTGGGCAAGAGGGAGCCCTGCAGGGGTGGCCTTGTGTGTGGGGCTTTCAGCATGGGGATTTAAAAGACAATGCCAGACGAGTTTCCATCTGGTGTGGGCTCAGGGTGGGTAACCTTCCCAATTAAATGCTGCCAAGTTAGGAAGCCCTGCTCTTTGTAAGCGTCTCTTGTCTTATAAACAAAGATGACCCATCTTTCTGCAGGGTCTGGGAGAAGCCAGCTGCACAGTGGCTCAGATGAGGACCCACTGTATTTCCTCCCAGCTCAGGAGAGGGCGTCACTCTGTGCAAACCACCACAGCCATTTTGTCCACTGACTTCTGCCTGTCACCCCAATGCACCAGCTCTGACATACAGAGAGGACTCACTGAGTTGAAGCTCGGCCTTGTGTAAAGTTCAAGCCTAAACATAGGTTTGCATTCAGGAATCCCAGAGGATTCTTTGCTGCCCCTCCCAACTATGCTGCCTGAAAACCAGTCGGTGCTGTTCTGGTGGAAATTTGGCAGGATGTCAAAGACATTATTGCCTGATAAGGAAAAGCAGCCTTTTATTTTAACTTCCCCTCAAAAATTGTAGAAATGTTCCATTTAGTTAGTTACAGCCAAGTTTTTCTTGGTAGTCGTGGCCTTTTAGTTTCCATTAGGTTTTTGTCTTGTTTTAGAGGAGTTAGGAGCCAAGCTAAGGAAGCATAGATGAAGTCAGCTTCTACTTCCATAAGCTTGTTTTACAGAAAAAGACTTAAAAGAAGCCACCTTCCCAAAGTGAACCGAACTGGAACGTCCATCAAGTCAACAATAGCTATTTTCCCGGAGAACAGAGAAATAAGAACCTTCTCTTTCCAAACCAGAGCACGCTTCTCTCCTAAGCCATGGCCTCAGGAAACAACTGCTTCCTGGCTTTCTTCCACAGTGAAAGGCTTTTCATAGCTGCCGACCAAAGGCTGCTGGTGACTCTCAGTGCTTGCTGCCTGGCATTTTTGTGAGTCCTTATTAGGAAGGAATTGTCGAAAATCCAGCAGAACTCAAGGGCAGTGTGCAGGCCAAGAGCAGGGGTCAGGTATGAAATGACTCAGGGCGTGAAGTCTGTTTTCTCCTCCCTAGGCGATGGCAGACAAAGTGCTTAATTTTTGAGTCACAGTCTCATCTGAAAAATGGGCTTACCTTGGTGTCTGACATGATGGATGCTGTCCATTAGTCATGTATACTGAGTTGGGAACATGAGGGCAACAAAGAGAGAGCATCCCCAATACTGTTTGTCTCTGTGACTAGAGCAGGGATAGTGAGAGAGCAAGGAGGTTGGCCCTGAAAGGCACACTGTGTCTACAGATGACATGTTCCTGTGCACATGGAGACACCTACAAAGAACCAAGGTAACCCAGAGACCAGAGGACTCGGGAAGCTGAGCTCTGACACAGCACCGAGCACTGCAGATGCCTTGCCACAAAGACAGCGCAGAAATCGATGCTGGTAGTTGAGCCTGATTTTTTGTTTGTTTTTCCAGTACCAAGAATTGAACTGGGAGCCTCACACTTGCTTGGCAGGTGCTCTTACCACTTGAGCCACACTCCTGCCCTTTTTTTGTTTTTAGGTTGTTTTTCAGAGAGAGTCTCACACTTTTACCTGCCAGCCTTGGACGGGGATTCTCCTACTGCTGCCTCCCAAGTAGTTCGGGCCACAGACATGTACATCGCACCTCATTTTCTGAGCTAGGATCTTGCTAGCCTTTGCCTGGGTTGCCTTTGCACCAGATCCTTCTCTCTCTGCTTGTCAAATACTTGGAAGTAAAGGTGAGCCCCGCCATGCCAGTTTGTTTTCTCCTTCTGAAAAGAACGGTGCATCGTGGTAATTGGATGGCTTTCGCACAGGCTCTTACCTGCTGGCGAGAGCAGCAATACCCACAGATGCCTCCGAGGACGCCGTTTATGACTTGAATGAGGCACAAGATGAATTCGATTCCACCAAGAGCCAAGAGGATGGAGAACAGGGTTACGTTCCACTCCACGACGTGCTGGGGTTCATAGCACTGGGTCCACGTGGAGGGGTCCACGAGGTACCTGTGGAGAGAAAGAGAAACTTGGGAGACATGACAAAAAAACAAAGAAAGAAAGAAACAAACAAAAAAACCCAACCTCAGTTTACTTTCCCAGAATTCCAGCCTCTACAACATCAGAATATTTGGATTCTTGCTGAAATGGGATTCAATCATGTGGGAAAATCAAGGCTTGACTTCATTCCACAAAGAGGCCTGGCATGCTTCCTTGCTTATCACTTTTCCTGCCCCAGCAGAACAAAGGGGGTTGGAACAAGACACCCAACTTTGAAACAGTTCATTGAGTCAACCCAAGATCTAATTCATTGATTTGAAACAAAAACACACACAAAAAAATTTCTGTCCTTCTGGTCCTGCCTCCCTGTTTGTCAGTGGAACAAAAGTCTGTATTTTCAGGTCACAAAGTCAAAAAAATTTTTGGTTCCATTAGCCTACGGGGTGACTAACTGGTGGTTTGGAACTGTTAGGTCTTCCCAGCATTGAACGCCTTGGACAGGTTCAACAGAAAAGGAAGTTTTTGCAGAAGCTTAGGCAGATCATGGGAGGAGCATAAAACAGCTCTAAAAAGAAATTTAACGATGCAGCCACTGCTCCCTGGATTCTGCTGCATGCGTCAGGACTTTTTAGAAAAGTTTCATGCAATAGTCTCGAATGCCTGTGCATAGCGAATAGTCAATTTCTGTTAGCCCACGATGTGATCAACAGAGAGGAATCGCACTGGTGATCGTTTTAAACATCAAAACTTCAAATTCCTGGAGGCACCAGTTCTCCTTGAAAGGCCACCACTGCTCTACGCTCACTGCAAGCTGACAGACCCCCTCGCAGCTCACAACACACCGGCCTCAGGGAGCAGCTCACGTGCTCTGTCTCATTGTCCTCATGGCAACGGCCACTGGTCATCTCACAGAAGTAACCAGAGGCAGAGAGGAGAGGGCGCTTCCTCCTGTTCTCGGAGAGCAAGTGCAGAGCTGAGCCTGAACTAGCAAGTCCAAGTTCATAGCAAAAAGGACGTGTGTGTGTACAAGGTCGGTACATCTCACTGCTGTATCGTTCACGGGAGCAAATGCGACTTATTAGGTAAGAGCAATTCTACTTCATTATCTTCACTCCTAACTCCCCAGACTGAACCTTCCAAAAGTCATCGTTAAAAAGCCGAATCCGCAAAACTTAAAATCAATTCCTACTCTCCAAGAAGGATGTGAGTCTTGCATCACCACAGAGTTTCTGCCAGTGTCTGCTCCTTTCTCTGCACCTGATAAAAAGTCAATACCAATTTAGAGCGATAGGACCTCTTAAATGATCCTGGTATGAAAGTCATGGGGAAGACCTTTCTTACCCGGCCTAAAAATTTTAAATAAAGGGTCCATTGCACATAGTTCTGTTCTTATGTGAGCACATGCATATATGGGGTGGGGCATTTGTCCTGGGTTTTGATTAAATTCCTACAGTTGCCATGCTTATTTCATAAGGGTACTGCACCGCTTTCTCACAAAACGGTAAAAATGTACTACATTAAACCAGCCAGTTGCTCCGCATAGCACGTATGCCATCAGAGCACAACTCTACAGGAGATGGCCTGAGTTCGAACTGGACGACCACTTTCTAGTCATGTGACTTTGGATAAGTTACTTTGTCTTTTTGTGCTACCCTTTTCTCATCTGCAAAACAACTTTGCGGGGTTATTAGAAGAACAGAACCAATGACACTACAAAGCATCTTTAGACTTGTCTGTCCATCCTTGGACACCTGTGGTCTAAACCATGAATCAGTGGAGAAACACCTGCTGGCTGGGTGGCTGGACCGTGGACAATTCGGTCTGATGGGGCTATGACCAAGCACATGAAGGGTTAACAATGAGGCCCCAGGTAAGAACAATGACCTACTCTCCCTCCGTGTGGGCAAAGGTGTAGTTCCACTGGCCTTGGGAGTCGGCACACAGAGGTCCTTCTGCCAAACCCAGGGCTGCCACGATGATACAGTAACCTGATCCTGCGATCCCGACGAGCGCAGCCAGGACTGAGGACAGCATCTGGGGAAGGGGAGAGGAGAAGTGAGCCCAGACCACTCTGCCTCTCGGAGGAGGAGAGTCCCGCCCGCCCGGCAGGAGGACCTACCGCGCATCTCTTGCCACAGAGCTCATGGCCACAGCAGCCGCAGCAGTCCTCCTCCTCCAGCCCGATGAACACGAAGGCAGGCAGGAACATCTGTCGGGGTAAGACAGTCAGAGTCACATCCTGCCGGCTGCACAGGGTCAGGCACGTCTGGTCAAATGCACCATTTCTGGTGGCGTTGACTGGCTTTGATTATTGACCAAGGGTCTCAGAGGATGCAAAAGTGGAAGAAACTCTAGATGTCTTGCTTGCTTGAGTTCATGGGTCATGGGTCAAAGTATTAGGATGAGGCTATAGACATCCTACAAATAATAACCTACCAATATTTGTGTGTATCCCGTAAGAGTTCATAGCACAGGCCCAGGTGCAAAATCTGCTTTAGATCTGCTAAATTTTGCCTTTAAGTCTGATCTTTTCCCTTGTGGGACACAGAAGATACCAACCATCTTTTATTTTGTTTTTTTGTTGTTGTTGTTGTTTTGTTTTTGGTGGGACTGGGGTTTGAACTCATGGCTTCATGCTTGCAAAGCAGGCATTCTACCACTTGAGCCATTCCCCCAGTCACCAGCAATCTTTTATAGAACAACTGAAATATTTTTAAGAGGAAGAGACAAAAAAAAAAATATGATCTGCATCTTTGAAGATACAAAAGCACTGTTTTAGCTGTTTAAATAAGGGAGGGATGAAATACCTGAAGTTCAATGTCAAAAAATGTCAAAAGCAACTTTAACAAGTGCAGAGCTACATTACACAGTACGATTAAGTTAATTTGTATCAGTAATACTTGTGGTGATTCTGTTAACCTGACAGCAATGCTCAAAGCAGGATTGCCATTCTGCAATTAGTATATTAGCTGCAAATATTTTAATGTCTTAAAAAATATTCTGTGTGATATTAACAATTCCATGCACTTTCTCTTTAAAATCCTGAAAGTTAGTTAGCATTTTAAAGTAGCAAACTCAAGTTTATCCACATTCTTCCCATGCCCAAGCTAATCCTTTCAGGTTGGCAGACAAATTCCTCCCTTCAATTAAAAACAAACCCTGGGGAAACACCACCTTCCACTCTTAGCTTCAGACACTGAGCTGCTGCAAACTGTAGGATTTTTTCTAGACGCCACACCCCAGGAGAGAGCTCCCAGCTCTTTGTAAATAGCGACGTACTCAATTGACTATTTTTTCTCTGTCACAAATGCCTGAGAATACGCAGCAAGAATTTGGATCCAAAGTGTTGATTTAGCACCAGCTGTCCCCTCCCAGCTCCCAGAGCGAGTGTTAAATACAACCCACTCCAGCACTGGAAACCCCGTCACACCTCGAATCTGATTTAAAAGTGAGTATCTGCTTTCGAGATGTAAGAGTTAAGCAAAGAGTTCACTTTCAGTTGAACAAGCATTTTGTCAAGCAGTATCCTACTGCAATTAATAAACATCCAGCAAACCTTTGTATAATCAGCTTTCAAAATAATTGCTGCATTTGGGACAATGCATTTCAGAAACTGCTCTTGAACCTCAGGAGCCCCGCTAGGTAAGAGAGAGACTTTTGGAGGTTGTAACCATTCTGAACGACTTACCAGCAAGCCCCCGCCCACGATGCCCGAAAAGAACCACACGAAACGGCTGAGGTGGTTTTCAGTGGCATATTTTGTTTCCCCGTTGGGAAAATAAAGCAGAATATTAGCCACGATGCAGAGGACAGCAAGCCCTGCCAGGCAGTGTCCAACACATCGCGCACATTTGCCATAGCACATGGTGCAGCAGGAGCCTGTCAGTCTTCCCTCCTCTCTGTCCTCAGTGCCAGCTGTCCCAGGTCACACGAGAGTCCCACGGTGGAGAAAGGGGAGCAGCCCTCACCCCATCCCTGCCACCTCTTAAATACTGCCAGCTCTTAGTCACCGGGGGATGAAGCACTTTGCTTTCATTGGTCCCGACCGTGGGCTGGCTGGGGTGGAGATGTGGGGTCGCCCCGCCCTTTGAAAGAAATTCTTGGAACAGGGAAGCCAGGACAGGACGTGAGAAACACTTCCAGTCTCAGGCTACAGAGAAAATGATTGAACCTCCACCAGGAATCCTCTGTGCAACTCCTCCACAGGGTACAGTTAACAGGAAGGTCTCACAGGACTTCCCAGTGTCCCCCAGTGGGACACCATGGCTGAGGCTTGGAAAGGCAGCTCTGCGACCCTGCTCTGCGGCTCTCTGGACAGCTTCCAGTCCCAGGCTCCCTCTGCCTGATTTAATTTGTGACCTGGGGCAAGTTTCCTGAGCTCTGAACTTATTTCCTTGTCTGTTAAAGACAAGGTATCCAAGCTGTCACCCAAAGGTTTAAGGAGGCTTTGGAGAAAATTCCAGAGCAAGCTCCTGCCCTCTGCCTGAGGCCAGCTCTGCCCACAGCCAGCCTCCCTGGACATCTGTGCACCACAGCCCAGGGGCCATCGGTCAGTGCAATGGCTCAGGCACCTGAGTACAAGGAATACATCCCAGGAAGGACCCAGGACAAAGGAAGGAGGAGGAAGAAGAAGAAGAGGAGAAGGAAGATAGGAAGGAAGGAAAAGGAAAAACAGCAGGGAATACAAGAGGGGAAATGAGGCGGAGAGAAGGAGGAAGGAGGAGGACAGCAGAGCCCAGGGTCAGGGCACAGAGGTGAACAGGTGTCCACCCAGCCAGAACCTCGTGCAGGCTCTCATTTGTCCCTGCACACAGCAGAGACCAGGTTGCAGTGGCCAGGTAGATGGGGAGAGGATAGGGACAGGCAGGCCACACTGGAGGGGCCATGTCACCAAGACAGGATAGGAAAAGACAAAAAGCCCAAAATGGCAGTTGTTAGTTTAGAAGAGGAAGGTGAGCAAAGCTGACCAATCCAGACTCAGGATTGTCCCCAAACCAGAGGGTAGGACATATACCAAATCTGAGACTAGCTGGGGGATCGGTGACATGGGGTCAGAATGGGAGGAGAACCTAGGAAGAAGTGTGTCCTGAGCTGACCAACAGGTGAAGCCACAATCCCAAATGCACCGAGGAAATAGATCAGTGGAAACAGAGGACAGGGCCGGGAGCCTACACCTGCCTGGGTATAGACCAGCAAGTCCTCATAAGACGTCACTTGTCCCAGCATACAGCCACAAGAAGGCACTTGGTCTGCATTTTGACTGTAAGTCCTGCTTGGTGACAGATCCCACAGCTGACAGGGCCTAAGTGTAATGCAGGTGGATGATGAAGCCCTAGGTTGGACATCTTTGTTCTGACCTTCCACTGGGGCTGGTCTGTCCCATCTCGAGCCCAAATGAGAGAAAGGGATCACTTGAGGACTTTGCCCCAAGTTTCGAAGCCTCTCCCTTCTCTTCCTTATCCCTACTCAGCAGGGCAGAGAGGATGAGGGGTCTGGAAAGTGTGCAGGAGATGCTGGCTCTGCTGCTTTGAGAAGCTTGCATCGATATTGACTCTGTCCCAAGAAAGAGAAATGTCTCCATATGTAAACAGACCTATTCTTCTTTCTATTTCTGAGGACATCCAGACTCCCTAAAACTCATTAGTGGGTCCTCTTTACGTTTCCCAAGGTTTGGCCCATCTGGGGACCACCAGAACCACACATACAGATTTGGGGTCCCGCCCTAAGCATAAGGTATTTCTAGGTGGGGCCCAACAGTCTAAATGAGTCATTTGTTCTCTCCAGTCTGGGAGCACAGCCCCAGGCACACATCGTGTGTATCAGGTGCCATCTGAGGCCGTGTGCACCTCCAAGGTCCCTCCGCTCCAGTGACGCTGGGTGAGTCACAAACAGGAAGGGGCACGTTGCAGTTTTCAGGGTGGATGTAAGGTATTTTCAGACTTGAGCTGACAGCACCCTCCTGGAATAAGGAGTCCCTTCCCTGTGCCCACCCTCCTGTCCTCCTCGGGACCTCTGCCTCCACCCCTCAACTGATCAGCTGGCCTGGCAGAAGCAGGGGCTGCTTTTCCTGGCGGAAGACCCAGCTGTGCTTATCTGGACAGTTTCTTAACCATTTGGCTATGATCCTAGCCAAGAGAGGATTCTGGCCTTTCTCCTGGCCATGAACCCTGTTTCCTGTGCACACTGCCATCTCCATGGGTACCTTCTGGGCTCCAGTTCCTTCCCCGACCCCTGACCCCAGCCTGACCCCTGACCCCGGCCTAACCCCTGACCCTGCCTCTGCCTCCCGATCTTTCTTCCTGTTCTGAGCATTATCTTCTGTCATGCAATGGTCTTCTGGATTCTGCTTGCATACGAGTTGAGTGTCCCTAAACTGAAAATCTGAAATTTAAAACACTCCAAAGTCCAAAACTTTTTGAGCACTGACGTCACACCACCAGTGGAAAATTCCACCTCTGATTTCTGAAGTCAAAACACAGGTGCACTGGAAGCATTTATTGCACAGAAAATCCGCTTCAGACTGTATATAAAACACACACACACGTGTATGAAACACAAATTCCACCTCTCCATGGTGTCACCCTGTGTCACAGATACCTCTGAGTTGCTCAGTGTATTCACTTCTTCTTCTGTTGTCTGTCTTTCCATCTCCTTCCACCTCGTCCACCACTGATCTGCAATGCCTGACCCATAGCAGGTGCTCAGTAAATATTGTTCACTAACTGAATGAAAAAGTAAGCACGCTGATGTTCTTTTAAGCCCTATCTTACCAGAATGGTGCTCCAGTCCCCTCACCCTCTGTTCTATAGTATCTGCCTGTGAACTTGGGGTGTACTACAAAGTCATCTTAGCCACCTGCAGCAGGGCCCCCAGGCTCTGCCACAGCCTGGCTCCTGGTGCAGGTAGTTAAACCCTCTGTTCCTCAGTTTCTACCATTCCTCCCCTCACTAGTGTTTTTTGGAGCTTCTGCTGTGCTTCCTAACATAGCAGATAGCACAGGGGAGACAGCATTAAACAAATGAAACCGAACTCAGTCTTTATTCTTAAGAAGTGTCCATGCGACTGGAAGGAGAGAGACAACTTTTGAAAAGTAAAATACAGGTGTCATAGACGGTGGTAAGTGCAGACCAGGTCGGGGTGGAGGAGACAGAGAGAGGGTCTCTGAGGCAGGAGAAAGATAGGATCTACTCGTAATGTGTGATCTGCAGAAGTGAGTCACTGTGCACAAAGCTTCCAGACCTGGCATTTAGCAGTCACTTAACACACATGTCACTTATTACTTCCTACTTCCATCTGCCCACTCTCTTGGGAAAGCTGTCTCCACTCCATTTGTGATGCACTCTATTTACTTTTCTGAGATTCCATTCCTCTGATATACATTGGACCCCTTTATCATTGCTCCTGCTGAAGTACTAGAATTCTGACAGTTAGAGAGAAAGTCACTTCTAGCCCCCTCGCCCCTCGGGGATCACCTCAGCCCATGGCTACCTTCAGAAGGAGAGGTTTTTACTGCACTATAGCACTACAGGTTCCTGAGCACTGGCCACCAGTTCTCAACCCCACATTTTGGGGTCCCTGTCCCACTTCCAGAAAGAAAGGCCCCGCTTCTCCTGCCCTGGTCCAGCCACCCCTGCCTCGTTCTCCTGGCTGAACCCATTACTTCGTCATGACCCTTCCATGGCACCCAGCCTGCCTCTACCCTGCCCCAGGGCTGTTCACGACTTTGTCCTTGACACAAGGCAGCGCTCGTCAGACCAGGATGTGTGGTTCTGTGTCCCTCTCAGGCCACACTAGGACCAAGGCCCCAGATGGGGACCGATTTTCTTCATGAAGTGCGGCAGCTAGCAGTGTCAGACATTCGACTGGCTCCCAAGAAATATTTTCCAGACAAATAAATATTTGTTCAGATGAATAGGGAGATTGAGTATGGTCAGTTCTAAGGTTATTAGCTTTGAAACAAAGTCAAAATAATCTCAGGAAAAGTTAGAGAAAATGGTCATTTCTTACACTGAAGCTCGAAAACTTTCAGTTTTCCCTAGCATACATGTAAGCCGTGGGTACATGCTTCTTGTGGTTTTCTCTGCTGACCATTTGATGGACGTGATGAGGTTTCAAGAGTAACTCCAGGGAAGCTCCTCTTGGTAATGCCAAGAACCATACAAGCGCCAGTTTTCATGGTGGAAGAAGCCCCAGTGGGGTGGGTGGGTCTACACCTCCACGGACCCCTGTGGCCCCAGCTCCAGCACTTTCCAGAGCTCATTTTGTTACTTGTTGGCGCAAATGGATTGTCTTTAAGAAGTAGCACAGTCTGTGATTTTATGTGGTCGTGGGATTTTCTCAGACGGATTTCCACTCAGATCTCCTGCGTCTTAGAGGGTGTTCCCTTTCTTGTTGGGAAGGCACTAATTTCTTACTCATCTGAGCATGACAGACATATGAGTCACGTGCAGTAACCATGCTCATTACGGTTTTTTTATCGTAAGTGACAGAAACCAGTTCAGCTACCTGAACCGAAGGGGCATTAATTATGAACTCCAAAGATGGGGGTGCAGATGGGGTGATGGGACTCAGGGCCGAGGGGAGCCGGACACGAGGAAATCCAGAGCCCTGTCCGCTCTCCCCTCGCACCTCTGACCCTTCCTGTCCACATGCTTCTGTCTTCTTAACGCACGCTCCGTTCCTCTGCTGCTCGGCTTTTCTAAGCTCAAGAGACTCACGCCAAGCCCAGCATCGGAGGGAAACAAGTTCACTGGGTAAAACTGGGAAGGGCCACACCCGCGGGACCTGCATGATCATGGCTTTCAACAGGAAAAAGAAGTCATTGTTTTAGGAACACGTGAGCATGAGGCCAGGCAGAGGCCAGTTGCAGTCCTTTATTTAAAACTGTAACCACAGTGTAGAACCACAGTAAAGGGAGACAGGGGGCCAGCAGGAAGCCATCTTGCACACAGCCTCTAGCTTTCCCCTCTCCTTAGGCTGCAGCTCAGTTTATTC